TCAGACTATACTGGAAATATCTAGCTGCCTGTAGTAGGGTATCAACTTCACATCTTATACCAGAATGAAGAATAACGCAATGTAATACGTTTGAAGGGGGACTGTCACTAAACCTCTATGTTGCATATTTTTGTCTTTGTATCCATGCCATGTTAGTAAATGAAAAATTGTACCACACCTCCGGTGTTTTAATTGATTTCTGCTGCTTGGACCTGAAAAGGGTATTGAAGGGCATTTGAAAACGTTCTTTATGAAACATTATCGAAACTTAGTATTTGTAAAAAGGCTTTCCGTCTCTGCTGACCCATAAATGAGTAGCTGTTAGCACAAAGTACCAGTTTATCCTGATTGTCTATGAAAATTTTTGACGAATTGCTAAATTTTGCGTCATTTAAAAACGTCAATTGTGATGGCAGTTCTCATTGTCATTGGTAAAAAATGAGGGCTCTTTAATGGCGGCATATCCTTTAAGAACAATCATCAAACCACTTACTATTTACTAAAGCCACTAATTCCTATCATTACACTTCAATTTTCTTTTTGCGCAAATGCGAAGCTTTTTAGTACTACTTGCTCAACTCTATTTTAGGCTCAATTCGATTCCAGTGTCTGAATTTGTGGTAAAGGAATGAAACCAGTCTTAGCATTCAATAGGCCATTTCTTTTACATCTGTTGGGAATGATTCGAAGTCGGATAATCTCTTGATGCCAGGAAAATGATTACGCAGCAGCCTTTTTTAGATGGATAAAGCAGATTGTTTCTTACCAAACTCACACTCATGCTTACTTGCAACCATATGGTCCGTTTCTTGTTATTATTATTTCCTAGCGGGCTAAATTTCCCAATCCACTTATGTTTAGAATTGCCTATTTGTATATGCATAATAATGGAGGGGATAACAAGATGTGTTATCGGTAAGCACGAATTCAAGTCTCGAAAAGAGATCAAGCGTTCAATTGAACATTCACTTCATACTTTCTGCCTTTTATTTACAAATTCAATCAACAATGTGTAGGCAATCAACAGCGGAATCGACCAGCACTGGCGAGATTTCGAGTCCCTGCCCACTGCACGCGGGTCTGGAACAGTCTCCGTCGTTACCACACATCGGAATTGGTAGCAGTCAACAATCGCAGCCACTGGCAATGGTCAACGGTGGATGTAGGAGCGGACTAAACGGCTCTCGACCAACGCCTACACCATCACGACAGCAATCGCATCATCAGCCCGGTCGATGGACAGGGGAGACACCGACACCCACAGCGACACCTACCCCAACACCCACTCCAGCGCCTCTTCTTATGTCTCAACACCCTGCTCCTCCCTGGTTCCAAGCCTATCTGCCTCGTGAAGTCGCTCTTGAGTTGCTCATGCATGAGGAGGTGCGTTGGTTCTGCCATTCCTTGCTAAGCGTCTCTGTAAAGCCTTATTTTCAGCCCATGCATAATCTAAAAGATTGTTACCTCTACGTCGCGACAGATATCAATCTTATCCGCTTTAAAAGGCATTACAAGGCTTGATTCAAATTTTCCCATTGTAGCGTTCAGTTGTTTGATAGTGGAGGTGACTGCGTCTTCGGTCATTTGTGTTCTGCTGTAGACGTCCCAATGTCACTCATTTCTTCTTGCGTTCACAT